AGTTTTTCTCACTATTTCACTCAATCAGTATGTGCCCCCCAAATCTGCTGCTCCAAAAGACACAGAAGAAGTGTTTGGCTGTCTCTCCTCAAAAGAGCCGACCTTGGTTAAGAGGACCAGGCATCAGCGGGCAGAGGCAGCCAGGTGGATGGTACGTCTTGGAAAGTGGCAAGGGAAGAGTTGGCTCCCCAACGCAGTGCCTAGGGAAGCAGGCCATTTTTCTCTTAGTCACCTTGAACTGTTAATGTGCTGTTTCCTCCCAGGAACTCTGAAAAGGAAGTTCAGTTCTAGCCAGAGCTTCTAATTAACTCCAAAGTTTCTACCACATCAGCAAACACCTCCAGACCACCCCAGTGTTCATTTCTCACCAGGCATAAGTCAGAAACTGATGTAAGTGAGAATGGGCACCAGAGGAAAACCTGTTCCTCTGTGAGAAGTGGTTCCTCTCTTTCCCCCAGCTGGACTATTTTGGGGGTCCTGTCATCTTAAAGCTAAATAATGTAGATTTATGATACTCATAATGCAAATGGCCATATTAACCTAGTAAGCACCCATTACACACTAGGATCTGTGCTCAAAGCACCGTTTCTTTCTTCATGTCAATCAAAAGCTGATCTTCATAAAAGTCTACAGAGGTCCTTAGGAACTTTGGGATTGGGCCAAAGACTGCACATAACCTGAAGTGGGTGACTAAGAGGTAGCAGTGGGGGATGGCCATGTTTGTGACTTGGAATGAAAATAGAACATTCCAAGATATAGGAACATGTTATGAACCCCTGGGGGGAATCCCGTCAATGACCCAGGTAAATAAAAGTTTCAATTTACCTGGAAGAAATCAGAGCAAAGGTGAGTGCCCAAACATGACGAGACTTAGGGGACAAGTGAAGGAGTTCAGAGACGAGCAACATAATCATTTATGTCCTCTCCATCTATCAATCAGAAGGAAGAGAGAGAGAGTATCAAAGGAGAAACATTTTGGCAGACTTTAAGTTTGGGTGGGGTGCCATCACAGTGGGATGTCAGCAGGCAGTAGGTATCTGGGACTGAACTCAGGAGAGTGATTTGACTTAGAGATGATAATCTGATGATCAATGTATAGGTGCCAATCAAAAGCCCAGTGGTTTTTGTCTACCCGAAGCAAAGAACACCACCAAAGAAGAGAAACCCAATTTGGAAACACTGATGATTTGGGGTTAGAAAAGGAAGGCAAAGCCTAGGGTAGCCCTGTAAATGAAGGAGGAAACCCAGCAGAGGACAGTGTATGATGGAGGTGAAGGGCTCCAAGTGGACTGAACTGGTCAGTGACAGAGAAGGGAGGTTTAATTGCCCATTTATTAACCTGACAGTTGCACAGAGAAGTAGCCATGAGAGAAGAGCTTTGTGTAGAGATGCAAATGGGCTGAAGAAGTAAAGACAGGACAAATGGAATTTATTGTGAGTTTGTTGACACTCAAAGAAAGGAGAGAGAGAGAGAAAGAAACAAAGAGAAAGCGAGGGATGGAAAATTCTGGAAAGTTCTAGAGGTTCTCTGCATCACCAGTTAGAATCTAGCCATAGTTGATCATTGTTGGCTAAAGCAACAGGGAGCACTTTAAAATAGCACATGATTAAAAATTACACAAAGTGAAAACCTCAGGTGGGGGCCATGGTGGGAGATGAAAGAGACTCGAGGATCCGGGAGGGCTGTCAGTTTCAAAGGGGATATTACTATGAGAGGTAAAGGTAAAGGCCCTCCCGTTGATCATCGATTTGCTCGAGTGGGCCCAGTAACGTCTCCATTGGAGACTTTGTTGTTACTGTGTTTGGCATATCGAATACGTCACGGGGAGCTTACCAGGCTCTGCCATGCGGGTGAGATACTCTCGGTAACTTGCCCGGCCCTCCGAGAGGGGTGGAGGAATCGAACTCGGGTCGGCCATGTTGGCTGCGTGCAAGGCGAACGCCCTATCAATGTGCTATGAGAATCAATGGATAATAATACAATAGCAAATAATTCAGATTCAGAAGGCTTATGGTGTTTAAGGTCTTACTAGCTTCCATCCTGGGCCAATTCCCTCCCCTCTCTAAACCTAGGTATCCTTACCTGTTGCACAAAACTAAATTGCTCTTCCCAACTTCTCTCACTGCTAGCAAGGAAAGTCAAACAAATCTTATATGCAGATAGCATCTTAAGAATTGGAAAGCCTGTATAACTCCATGACAGGAGCAGCCTTCTTTCTGCCTTTACCCCTTGCTGGCTGGGGAGTCTTTTCCTCTTGAAGTATTTTCAGGGGCCATGATAAAACTTGCAAAGTGTAGAAAGAATCTCTCTCCCTTAGGGATCTTTGTGTGTCTGTCTGTCTATCTGTCTGTCTGTCTCTTTCTCTCCCAACTCACTCGAGGTATAGAGTTCTGTGAATAGATTGGAAGCAAAAATGTGCTTAACTTTTTGAAATGTTGCAATATGACTAATTTTTTAATGATGGAACTACATGAATAACTGAAGTGTGTGAAGGCACACTTCTTTTTAGATATTTATCATACTAAACTATCAAGTTTAGCTTTTTGGGTAAAAAATAATTTCCCTAAAATAAAGATGGCATGAAGGGTTGGGACAATGACTTAAAGGAGTGCATGCTTTGCATGCAAAAGTCCAGGTTCATTTCCTGACACTCCACAGACCTCCCACCCCCACCCCTCACCCCCACAAGCATCATACTGACAGTAGCTCTCAGCACTACTTGGAGTGTGGTATTTTTCATTTTGTTTCCAAACTGAAAAATAAAAAGCTGACATTATACCATATCTATTAAAATTTCAGTGATCACAAGGCATGCAGACACTCATTTCCTCCTTTAGTTACCATATTGAATCAGCACTTCCTTCTCCATCAAAATGCCCCCTCTTGTGATATTTGTGCTGCATTTGCTATATGTGTGTGTGAGTGTATGTGTGCTTAAAATCAAAACTAAATGAAAACAAAACCACCTGAGCTATGTATTCTTACCTAAAAAATCTATAAGTCATCTTTCTGCAGACAAATCTCCACAAATATGTTGTATTTGACCCAAAGATTGTTTAAAAACAAAACAAAAACCTGGAGCCAATCTTTCAAAATGGATCTATTTAATATTTTAACACACCCATGTCTCCCACCTCTTGGAACACTGGAAGAGTAGGCAACTCAAGGCAAGGCTTTTATTTGCTTGAATAAAGGTGAATGGCTCCGTCTCCAGTTCATCTCAAATCCTACTCTTTCTATTGCTTCCCCCAAAAAAATAATGTTTCCTAGCCTAGATACTTGGGGTAAAATGCTATATTATTAGCTCTTTGACAGCACTTTGTCTGCTCAGCGTGGGACTCTATAGAATTGGAAATCTGGTCTTTTCCTCTGGGTTCTTCTTTGTATGATAAAGATTAAAATAAAAGCAAAGTAGTTCCTTTGGGAAGTGTTTAATGCAAAGCCCCAAAGAAAATTTTGTGTCGCTCCAAAAGCTGAGGCAATTGGCCAAAAGACTCCAGGAGGTTCTTCCTATACCCTCACAAGGTCAAGAAACTCTGATAACCTATGATGGAATGGAGAGACATCTGGTAGACCACTTTCTAAAGTTGGGAAGATAAAACATATTCTCAGTTTCATTAACATTGATGTACTAGCCATGGCTGTTCCGTACCACATACAAGAAATTCTCAAGCAGAACATTCTTTGGCTCTTGTCAAGTGGTCTGTAGTCTGTGGAATTTCCTATTCTCCAGTCCCAGAACAGAAAGCAACCCCCGCCCACCCCCCCTCCTGACTTTGGCCGTCATGAGGTTTAAAGAGGATCATTTGTTTTCATTACAGCCCCTTGAAGCCCTTCCTTCCCTCCTCATTAATGAATTTCCAGTCTTTCATCAAAAAACAAAAACAAAAAAACAAACACAAAGAAGGACCTGACAGAGGACATGGTTAAGTGGCTGGCGCGCATGGCGGAGCGGGCTTTAGAGACAGGAGCCGGCCATTTACTGATTGCAAGAAGGGGCTGACATCCTTGGTTAGTATGCTAATTTCATCCTCTGCATTTAACATTCAGATCAGGTTCGTGCAGGCCCTCCAGAAGCCGCCGAGTCCAGGGATGGGGTGGCTGTCTGCCTTGCAGCATTGAGCATTCTCGGCATGAATCACATAAATACCCAAACATTCCATCCGTTCCCACTTCACTCTCTGTCCCTCCCTCTTGGAGAGACACACAGAGCACAGAGCCGCGCGCATGCCAAGCATACACGCCACCTAATGCCATCGCGGGCGTGTGAGGGCACACACACACACACACACACACACACACACACACACACACACACATCATACGCAGGTCTGGGAAATGCAGTGGAAGATGCCAAGGCAGGTACCTGGGTCATTCCCCCTACTTAGGACCTCCTAAGCATTCTCTGCGGGGATGGTTCTCATGCTGGGACAACTTGCCATGGGGTGCGGATGAGGGGTAAAACAAGGGTGCAATAGAACTAAAATCCCAACCCAAAGGAGGACACTTTATATCCAGTCCCAGAAATCCTTTTTCTTTTTTTTAAAAAGGGAGAGGGTAGCAAAAAAGCTCCAGTCCCACTGATGTAAAAGAGAACCAGATAACTTAGTGAACCCATACCCAGGAAGAAGGGAAACGCCTCAGTTTGTCCCTGAGTCCCTACTTTGGCCATGTGTATCCAAAGTCATTCCTGCCTGGTTTGGGACTCACCAAGCCATAGCTGGGTGACACAGGAGAGGTTTCCCAGACCAGCTCCCACCTGGCAGCTCCAATGGCAAAGACAATCGCCTAGCACCTTGGCCAGAACCCAGTCCTTGGCAAGCCGTGTCGCCTCAACCTCTTTCCTCCCGCGTCTTTCTGCAACATTGCAGCAGCTTCTTGGGGACGAGCAGAACCAGCAGCTCCTGTGAGCAGAAGGCACATTTAAGGGTTGCTTTAGAAGGCTGAAGCAATTTTTGAGCAAGCAGAAGAAGGCTCCAATTAAAAGGAAAAGGACAGGTCGGTTTTAATTATTTGGTTTTATTTTCTCAACGTCTGACATAACCAAGTCACCTGGTATGCCGTGGGTCTTCCCTATGGAAGCTCTGGAGACCCCTGGTCATGTCCCTGGGAGCCCCAAAAATATTCCATCTTGGCTGAGGGACACCAGGCACTTCCTATCAGAGCCTCCGATGAGGAGCCAGGAGTATATTTCTCCTCCAAGCTGCAGACTTGATTTGCCTCGAATTTTTTTTTCCTTGTTTTGGCTCTGATCCAAGATGTTTTCCTGTCATTTCACTGTCTTTTCCGGTAATCCCTTTTTTAAACATTGCCAACAATTAGTCGATTTATCTCTCCACCACCTTCACCCCCACCCCCATCTCCACGCAAACACACAATTCCACTGCGCCCCATAGCACGCTCCTGTTTTGCCTTGGAGTCTAAGAAATTACAGCTTCTCATTAGCCGGAGAGCACGTTTGGAAACGGCTTTGTGTTTACTCACTTAGTAAGTGATGCTGGCCTTTTTAATTATTCTCCCTCCGCGTGCCATCAGAGAGCCGCAAGCTGTTCGGAGCAAACCAACGGGGCTGCATCTCCTCCGCAAGGCGGTGGAAAGAGACAGGGCTGTACTTCCCTGCCGCTGCAGGCATCCTGCCCTGTCAGCCAGCCAAGGAATCCCCCCAAAGCTCTTACGTAGGAGATACCCAAACTGCGAGGCGCTTCTCCCTCCCAGAGCAGAGTAAGTCCACACGCACAGTTGCACCAGCAGCCGACCCCAGACGGGGCTGTCCTCCAAGCTTCCAAGATCCCTGGTACCCAACATCCGGTGCTCGCTGCCTTTTTTTGCTTGCTGGTGCTCCCTCTTGCTCTCCCACCTGAGCCACGCCTGCATCTCTCGGTGCTCTCCTCCTTGGGCTCCTGCTTTCTGGGTGGCCGACAGCGGCAGATCCAGCCAGGAGCTGGGTCCCTCTCGCGCCTTCTGTGGGTGGTTGGATTTTTTTTTTCCCCCTGCAGCCGCCTTTGACTGCTACCTCTGCAAGGCTGGATCACCAAAGACACACGACTCCCTCACAATGAATAATCAATACAGATATTGATCTGCGGGAAATGTTTGTAAATTCCTGAAAGGGAATCAGGAGCAGGGAGGCTCGTGGGGGACGACGGACGCTGAAGGAGCACGGGCGCGGGGAGGAGGCTGCAGAACCGGGTCGGGATCCCAAGTGTCGCTGGCTCCGAGGTGACGGGACCGGAATGCGTGCGCTCGAGGCTGGCGCGTGGGAGCGCGCGTGTGACGAGGGGCTTCGGTCTTCTCCTCTCCCTCCAGCTGCTTTCCCCCTGAAGAAGCCAGAGCCAACTCGTCGGGAGCCCCCGTCAGTGCCATGTCTTGGCTGCGGGCCAGCACTGTTTTGTTTTCATTATCACACGCTACTTTGCAATTTGCATAAATACAGGGTTATTTTTTATCGTGTCGCCCAAAAGATAGAAGAGGGGGGGAAAAACAGAAGTCTTTGTTATGTGCAAGAAGGGCTGGCTGCCTACTCATCCCGGCTAAGGATTTAGCGAGTGGGAAGGACTCCCGAAGAATTGCGGATGGAGAAGTAGTAATTGGAGAAAGAAAAAGGATGCAGCAAAGACAAAAAAAAAAAGAAAGAAAGAACGAAAGAGAGAAAAGATCATGGGGCAGGGTGGGTAGCAGGTTAACGATCACTGCTGGGTGCTGGGCTTGGAGGAACTAGGTGATAGAGGCTCCTTCCCTCTGTGAACAAATGGTAGCATATTAGACAAGGCCAGCCAGGGGTTTGTGTGACCCTTTCACGGAGGGGACACTGTGGCTTTTTTTACCCTCGTGACAAACCTAGGCAGGGTAAGGGTAGCCAAAGCTGATCCCTCTGCTGCCTACCCACCCCAATCTCTCCTAGATCCACCTGATGTCTCCTGGACTCACCAGTGTACATTTCCCACCACCAATGTCCCCATTTCCTCCTCCCAATCTTCCTCTCCTCTCTCTGTCTCTCTCTGTCTGTCTCTGTCTCTCTGTCTATGTCTCTCTGTCTCTGTCTCTCTGTCTCTCTCTGTCTATGTCTCTCTGTCTCTCTGTCTATGTCTCTCTCTGTCTCTGTCTCTGTCTCTCTGTCTCTGTCTCTCTGTCTCTCTATTTCTCTCTGTCTCTGTCTCTCTGTCTTTCTCCCCTCTCCATGCATTGAGCCTTTCCTCCATGTCTCCTGAATTGCACAGCACTGAACCTACTGTTGCTCCTTCCTTTGACTTTTTCATCTGTGGGGACGTGGGCATGTGACAGAGAATGACAAGCAGTTGATGGCTGTATCCTGCCTGCTCCCAGTCCTGGCTGGGCATTGGAAGCCTCTCGAAGACATGTCCCAGGAGCAAGTCAGCATATATTCATGTATCCTGGGGAAGTGTCCCCTTATTTCAGAAACAGTTTCTAGTTCTATTGGGCACATACACTCACACACACACACACACACACACACACACACACACACACTTTGCACTCCTTGAATTTCCTATCCTTTCCTCTCTCCCACACCCAGTATGGTTTTGTGACTCGGGAGTAAGATGGCCTTGGGGCCATTCTGTTCTTTCTTCTCTGCCATTTCTCTGGTCAGAAGGACCTAGCTTAGAAACAGAAGGTACCAGGTCACCTTCGAGTCAGACATCAAGAACCAGATCCCATCCCAGCACAACTGGTCCTGAATATCCGCTTGCTCCCCACACAGCAGCAGCAGCTGGGGGTGCTTTTATTTATTTATTTATTTTTGTTTCCTTTCAAGTTCCTGATTAGCTTCCGCAATCCATTTAGCAGAGAACTTTCTATCATATGGACTGAGATGTCCCCTCTTGTCCCAGCAGAGCAAACCCACTCGTAAATACTGCCCATTCTTCATCTTCCCATGACATGGATTAATTACAGCACTATTGTTCCCCTGTAGGTCTATAAAGAAGGTACATAGGAATATCAGAATGAAAGAAGGGGTAAGAAGGAATGTTTTCTTACACTGCCAAAGATGTGAGAGAGCAGGCGGGTTGTCCCTAACCCAGCTCGTCACATGGTCTGTGTGTGGCACAGGGGCCAGATGGTCCATGCCTGTACCCAGTGGAGATGATTTGGAAGTGGCTAAATCATCCCTGAGAATTTTCTTCCTGTCATGGAGATGTTCATTGTGAAAATTCTGGGTTCCTAGAGACTAGCATGTTTCCTGTCTTGAGCCTGGACTTCCCCAAAATAGTTAAACTATTTAAAAAATCACTCTGTGAAGAGAAATGTCATTATCTTCATTGGTATTCCATTCCTGCAGGGTACATACAAGAGTGACATTGTTGTACCCGGGCGTCTATCTACCATTTCATTCCAAATTTATCCCAACATTCATCAACCTCTAGCATCTATCTATCCATTCATCTGACTATATTCATTTATATATCAACTTTTTATTCTGTTTCCCACTCGTCTATTCATCCATGTGCATCTCGCGATCCATTTTCTAGCCATGTATTGATCTATGAATATCTTTCTATTATCTGTCATCCACTTGTCTATCCATTTGTGTCTCTATTAATTCGTTTGTCTGTATTATCCATCTATCTGTTTTTCTATCTTTCCATTGATATATTCATGGATCTATCAACTCAATCGTCTCGTCATTTGCTTATCAATTACCTCTTTACTCTGTGCCTTTTGTTCACCATGATCTTAGCAGAATCCCAAATTCACATTCTCTGTCATTTTAATGGTAAATACTGCCCAGTTTCCAAATGAATTCTATAAAGACTACATACTTGGTCTCTGTTCCCTGGTTTAAAAGAGCTCTGCAAAAAAAAAAAAGAGCTCTGCAAACTAAAGCAGTTAGTGAGTAAAATCACATGATTTAAAATGGGTTAAATGGCCAAAACTACCAGGAAAAAAATACTATCAGGAAAAACATTTGGCCATGAACTCCTGAAACACTTTTCTTGTTCAGTCAAAGAAGGTATTTCTGCTTCCTTCTAAACCATGGCCAAAAGGGGGGAATTTAAGATGGCATCTACATCTAATATCTATCTTACTCCATCTGTTATATCTACCAAAGACCTCATGCAGATGGTCCAATTCAACTTAAGAGAACTAACTTAAGAGATCTTTTATCATAAAACAAGACAGATATTGAACTCTAATATGGCAACGTGCTTGTATGAGTTTGGATGAATGTATTCTGTATACAGGTTGAAGGTCAAGCAACAACTTCAGGGGAAAAAAACCTTTCTCTTTACCTTTATTCAAGATATATTCCAGCCCAGGCCAAAACTTGAGGTTCCACATTTTCTCAGAGTGTCCCCTAGTTTGCTTAGTCCAAGTGAAATGGGTCCAGCTAGTCTCTTCACCTATGTTGGAGAAAAATGCACATAAGTAAATGTTCACCTCTGATGGGGACAGGCTAAGCAACTAGACTGCATTTTATCTGTCTTGCCAGGCAGTCAGTTCCCAAATGGGAGCCCAGGTCACAATCTTGTAATCTTCATCACAGCGTCAGTCTTGTCTCTGGAGACGCTGGCCTTCTCTAATATCTGCTCATTTTTAGGCTGAATTTTCAATGAAGGAGTCAAGTTTAGTTGTTGGTTATTATTTTGGCTGCCAGGCAAGGATCAAACCACAAACCTTCCAAAAACGTGAGAAAGCTGAAAACCACCTAGTACCTTTCTTCAAGCACCTATCACTCACCCCATCACCACACCTGCCTGCTCACAGAAAGGAGATTGCATGAGCACCTGTCCTAGTCCTGGCTTCTGGATCCTGCTACCTGCCATGATTTCCCTGGGGGGCACTGTAGACACACTTCCTAGGACCCAGTTTTAGGGAGCCACAAAGATGGGTTTAATTTTTTTCTTTTTGAAATAGTCTTAAAGGATTCTTAAACTTTGAATCAAGGAAAATGTTATGAAAATGTTATTAAATGTTCATGCTATGAACAGACTTGTCTTGATGCCAATGGGGTCATAAAATATGTTTGGATAATCCCCAAACCAAGGTGAGCACCATAGTCCTACAGGTCTGGTCTAATCTGGATTCATAACGAAAGAGCGAGTGGTTAGGGATCTACTCAAAAACCAGGTTTGCTGGGTTCAAATCCTGATGCCACCACGTGGGAAAGTCACGTAAGGTCTCTGAATATCATTCCATTACCTCCAATATAGAGTAGAGGTTATAATAGAGCCTGAATGATAAGATTGCTGAGGTGATTAGATGGGAGGACATAGGGGCATTTCTTAGTTTAGAACCCTACAAAAGGAGGCACAGCCAAATTTGTTAAAACAGTTATTATTGTTATTCTCTTAGCTTTTCTGTCTTTACTTTGCATGTTGACCTCCCTGTAATAACAGCAATTATGACTTAAATCAAATTCTTTCATTAAAAAAAATAGATTATCTTCTAGTCACTGGGGACTGGATTAAAGGTGGTAATTGAAGTTCCTTCTCCACTCTGAAAATCAGAAATTTTTTCTCTCTTAAAAGTGGTAAATTCTGTGCTCTCTACCTGGAGCAAGGACCTTACATGATATTATAAAAATCCTCTAATAAATCAGCCATCTCTTCTCATTGGAGATTTGGTTCTTTCCTAACCTAAAACAATCCAGCACAAATCTTATTAAGAACCACAGGTTAAAAAGACTATTGTCAAAACTTTCTCTCTCCTTTTCTCTTTTTACTTTATTATCTCCTCATTTTTTTTGTCATTTAACTCCAATTATGAGATGCTAAGTGCTTTTGGAAATTTCATTGTTAATATCTTTTTCCAGTGCTATTAACGTAAATCAAGTTTAATAGTGTCCCAGCAAGTGTAAAAGCAATCAAAAATTCAGTACTCACGAATCATTCTGTAATTTCAGCATAAAATGTTAATAGAAATAATATCCAATACCATAAAATATCGGTAAATTCAACTTTAAATATATGTGATGAATCACTTCTCCACCCTATAGCATTCGTGGAATATTCTAGTAAGAAGTACTCAATTGGCCAAGGCATGCTCTAGTGGCCACGAGTCCCCTCCTCTGCTTTCCCATTCCAGCCAATCCTCATGGGATAGACAGTTCAATGACAGGCAATGCCTTATCCCAGACATATTGAATTCTTACACCATCAAGAAAAAATGTTGCAGGATGAGGGTGAGAGAGAAGTACAATTCACTTGAAAGGATACAAAATGAAAAGAACGAAAGTCATCATTGAAGGCTAAGAATATTGGTCATTAGCTGCAAGACCTGTGCTCTGTGCAGTCAACAAAGATGGTGAAAATAAAGTCCGTGATTTTGGGGCTGGAGCAATAGCACAGCAAGTAGGGCGTTTGCCTTGCATGCGGCCAACCTGGGTTTGAATTCCAGCATCCCATATG